ACCATAGCTGAAGTTGAACAGTCAACTTCAAACATGCTTAGCATGAACCAGTTTCTAAGGTCAGTAGCTATCAAGGAATAAAAGTATGTTGTGCATAATACATTGCTCATGCCTGTAATCCCAGCACACTGAGAGGCTACAGTAAGGGAGAATCAAAAGTTCATACACCCAGCCTGGGAAACTTACTGTGACCTTGTTTCAAAATTTAAAAAATTTTAAATGGCTAGGAATGACAAAAAAGGGGAAAGCTGTAGCTCAGTGCAGAGGCCCTGGGCTTAAACCCTGAAAACTGTTAGTCAACGAATGACTGGGCAAACTACACCAAGAAACAGTAAAATAGAAAACGTAATGTGCTCTGACTTCTCACCAGGCACTGTTATGCACAATTTACCTCAGTAAAACTCCCAAAGGAAGGAGAAATGTAAGCCAGATGACACGTGGCATTGCTCAGAGACTTTTCAGTTATGGTAACTAGAAAGCATATTACATGTCACAGTAAATACAGCACACTGTACTGTAGAAAAACAATCCTACCACAAAGAACTGTCCAGTCAAAATGTCAACAGAGCAGGACTAACATATTCTGCTCCAGTTAGTGATTCATTTAGTGTAACAATCTTATAATTATACCACAAATATTGAACTGAAATTACGGAGATTATATAGCTTATGGAGATAAGCTATAATAACAGCAGGGCTAAAGTATGAACCCAAAAATTCTCATTCAAGAGTCAATGTGCACCAGGAATTTAACTCAGCAGCATAAGTGCCTGGCTTTGCAAGTGTGCGCTTGTGAGTTCGATCCCTGGTACCAAAAGAAAAAAAGTCAATGTGCTTACCCTATGGTTTCTTTCTTAAAGTTTAAAAGCTCTAAATGTTTATCATCATGCGAACACTGTTCTAAGCAACTTAAATATATTATCTAATCTGCACAATCACAATTAGGCAGGTAGTACTACTATTCTCAATTTACAAGAGAGGAGCTAAAACTAGTAAAGTTACATCCAATGTTACAGAATAAATGACAACTGTGATTCAGCTATATAACACAACAGTCAGTTTTTAACCAGTATGACCAAAAAAAAAAAAAAAAAAAAATTAAAGCTGAGTCATACATTAACCTGGGATAGAGTCAAGGGAAATTAGTAAATGTTAGGCCACATGTTATGAAACACTTCTACAAAGGACTACTCTGCAAAGCAAAGCAACCTAGTAACCTGCTCTGCATACCTCGAGCCCATTCTGGTGCAGCTTCATCAGTCAGATTTCCTGTCAAAAAGGAGGAACCAAGGTTCAAAACAACTCTTCTGAAAGGATTTGGTAAAAAGGGTATTTACAGTATAAAATCTTGAAGGGTCTGCTGTACCAAAGACTAAAGCAGACCTACAAACTTAAAACTATCAGGTAGAAGGTGGATCTGGCAAAAGCACAATTACATTAGTCAACATTAGTAAGAAAAAGTTAATTCAAAGTTTCACAGTTACTTTGCCCATACAACTGCCATTTTATGAAGGATTAGACAACGGAATTAACCCCAGAAGTAGTAGAACTAGCTCATCAAACTAGGATCTATGTCTAACCAGCATGTACGGATTAGTACTTGCTATATACTGTACCAGGGCCTATGGGAAGTGTATTGCATGGATTATCTCACTAGTCCTCACAAGGAGTCTTGTCTAATAGGTACAATTATGATGTCTTTCACAGAACAGCAAATTGGGACCCAAACAAGTACACAATTTTCCAAAAGTTATACACCAATATTCTCATATTCAAACTCAGAGTAATTCTGAAGCAGCACTCTTATTAAACTACTGTACCTTATATCCTCTACTTAAATAACATGTATTAAATTTTCTGGCTTTCATATATTAATGAAATTTTTTTTAATTCTAAAAATAAAACTGGCTCATTCTTCTTTCAAAATAATGCAAGAAACACACATTTAGCCATTCTAAAACAAAAAGGCTATTCTCAGGGTATACAAACAGTATCATATGGAGTAAAAGTTATCAACTAAAAACTCTATGATCTATTTTCACAGTGAAGTTTTATGTTTTCATATGTCTTTCTCACATCAACTGTGCATTACAACATTAAATTTAGTGTTTCCACATACTTGTTGAAACTGTTTAATAAAGATTCCCCATAAGTATTAAAACTTGAGGAAAACTTTAAATTCTAACAATTATTCTACATATTCTCTTCATTATTCAAACGGTGATAAAAGTTTAAATTTTCTGACCATTAAAAAAGGTGTGGCTTAAAAACATACTGTCTGACAATCATTTGGTAGTTTATATAATACCTTTTATCTTTTTTGTCTGTCTTTACTGTTTTTTTGCAGTGCTGAGGACTGAAACCAGGGCCTTCACACTAAGCTTCATCACTAGCCCTTTATTTACTTTATGAGACAAGTTTTTATTAAATTGTTAACATGCTCAGGGCTGATCTAGAACTTGCAATCCTCCTGCCTCAGTCTCCCTGAGTGCTGGGAGTGTGTGCTACTATGCCTAACTCCCACACCCTTTAACTTTTAAAACACCTCTCTTTCAAAACTCTAATATTGGTTTAATACTTCATATTCTCTGACTTTAATAATATTCCTTTAAGTGTAGAAACAGCACCTAAGTCCCAAACGTTTTTAATTAAATCATTACTATCTTTCTCAGTGCAATTAAATAATTAAAAGAAAATGACTTTTACTGTTTTCAAAATTTCAACTGAATCATAAATGTGTAACAGTCTGCAAGACACTACTGTAGTTTAAAACGCAAGAAGCCTATGCTTCTGAAAACATAGTCTAGGATTCTCAGGAGATGCTCCAAGAAGAAACAAAAGAGAAGCAGAGCCCAAGATCTGTTCTAGAAATGAAAAACTAAAAGCAACTTGTCAGCAAAAGTATCTGAAATGTAGATGCGTAAATTAATTCACTGTATTTAGAATCAGCACTCTTAAGACCCCGGAACTCCTTGACACTGTGTGATGAATCAGTTGTGGGCAATACAAAAACCTGGGTGCTGACCAATAAGGCTCCATTATCTCATTTAAAAATTAAAACAGTATCTCCAGAAAAAATTAAAACAGAAACAGAATTTCATGAAAAATTATAATGGAACTTAATCTGTTATTTTTAAATGTGCATTTATTTAAGAATGCAAAGAAGTGCCCCCCCCAAGAAGTATATGACCATTATCAAGAAAAACGGGAATTATGTTTCAGCATCCAAAACAGAACAGTATTCATAATTTTCATTTACCAGTTTTTCCAAATATTCTGTGTACTATGCAAAAATCTGAACTCTTAAGATAACTCACAGTAATTAAAGTCATTTGCTACATTCCAACTTTCAATAATACATTTTATGTCAGACTATCAACCTTTCCCAGTTCATTCCTATACTAGATGTAATTTCAGTTTTAGTAACATGATTCTAAATGATTAATATACAGAGACCATTTTCCTTCACCTTTTCCATTTTAAATTTTTATTTGGCTAAACCTATTTTTCACCTACATTATATAGATCATTTCTCTTAACTTGACCTAATGGAATATGTAATACACAAGTATACTGTAAGATCAACATGACAAAGTTACCTAAGGCCTACTCCAACAACACAGAACAAGGGTTACTAAATAAATGTAGGAAAATTTCACTGTTCTCCCTCACAGATGAGAAAACAACTCTCACGCTGTTCAACAAGTGGACCCTACGAGTATAGTATAGAAAGAAAATGGGAAAAGTGTCACATTGATGGTCAGTATGACAAGTCACTGCTACAGCTATCAAATCTTTAAAACCTAAGATTGTGATTCTTAAATAAAACTAGTTATTTCATCTAAGTACAAGTATTTTTGCTGCTAAGGAATTTACTGGCTGTATGGCTCAATCAGAACCGATAGTTCTTAAAAGTCCCCTTAAATTCTGTTACTATCACTAAAAACATATAGCATTTAAAAACGATGATGAGGATAAGGTGGAGAAAAATCACTGCGGCAGTGAACAGGAAAATGGGAAGCACAAAATAGAGAAAAAGTCTAAGCGGCAATAAAAGTTAAAAGATTTACTACTTGGAATATCTAAGCTTCACAAGACGACTTGTGTGCTCTGACAGAGCTATAAATTATAAGCACACTACGATAGGAAATATCCTGGTTCTCCGACTCACGTGTGTATTATACTACCAACACACATCTTCACCTACAAACGTTTTCAAACTACCAAATACTTCATACTTCGTTTAAATAGGTGGGAAATGAATGAGTAACTGAAGTGTAATTCTGCAATTATCTTCAATAACCAGTGGAAGACAAAAGTTCGACCCCCAACCCCTAAACAGGGCAAAGCAGAGCGTCTGCTTCCCTACGTCCTTCACGGCTGCCGTTTCCGGCTTTTCCCGGGAAGGAAAGCGGGGGAGCTCAGCCTGGGGACAGCGGCCCTTTCCCAACAACCCCGCCAACCCCGAAGCCCGGGCGCGGGCAGGAGCGGGAGCGCACGCCGGCCCAGGACTGCCTCCTCTCCTCCCCGCCCCGCCGCCCGCCGTCCCCGAGACCGCCTCCAGCAAGGACTGCGCCGCGTCGCGTCGCATCGCGCCGCGCACAAGGCACGGGGACAGGGACTGGACCTGGGACAAGGTCCGGGCCCGTCTCGGGCCCGGCGAGGCGCCTCCCTCGCTCCGCGTTCCCCTCCCGGCGGAAGCGCGGCCGTGCAGCTCCGAGCACAAAAGCGCGCGTTCGCAACGGGCGGAGGCCGCGCCGCTGGTCTGGGCTCGGCCTGGGCCTGGGCCTGGGCCTGGGCCTGGGCCTGGGCCTGGGGCTCGGGCTCCGGCCCCGGTCTGGCGCGGGGGCCCGATTCAACGATCCGCGGGTGCGCATGCCTTCGAAGGCGCCGCCGCCGCACCGGAGCCCGAGCCGGAGCCAGGCTGAGCCCAGGCCGCGCGGCGCCATGTGTGTGGAGGAAGGGGCCCGGCTCCCCGCCGCGGCCGAGCCGCAACTCACCAGCTCCGCCGGACAAGTGCCACCGCGGGCAGCAGAGGAAGATGGAGGCCGCCGCGGAGGAGGAGGGGGCCGGGCCGCGGGGCGAGGGGGTACGCGCAGGACGTCGGCGTCGCTGCCGGGCCTCAGCTGCTGCGCCCGGAGCGCCGCCGCCGCCGCCGCTCGCCTTGCCCGCCGCCTCGGCCCGCGGAGCCTCGTGGGCGCAGTCGCCACCGCACGGGGCCCAACGTTCGCCCGCCTCGTGCAAACCGTGCGGCGTCCGGAGAACCCGCAGCCATCGGCGTGCGGCAGCGGCGGCGGCGCGGGAGCGAGCGCGGGAGCGGGCGCGGGAGCGGGGCGTACCACGTGACGCCAGTGTTTACTGTTCCGGCCGCGCCGCTGCACCTGCGCACTGGGACCCCGCGGCTCCGCCCCCTGCGCGCTCCGCGGCCAAGTAGCCAAGAGGAGGCGGCTTCCGCTCAGCGGAGCGGGGCGGCCTGGCCGAAGCTGCTCTCAGTGCTCCGGTACCTTATGAAAACACTGAAGTTCAAGAACGTCGGCCCAGCGTCCGGGAAGTCCGCGGCCCTGGACGGCCGCTCGCCACTGGCCGCTGCGGTCGGCGCCCCGCTCCGCTCTTACCCCTGACCCAGCCCGACCTGGCTTCGAGCGCAGTATGGGGGCCGGGAGGGTCCAGGAAGCCCCTGCAGGTGTCCGTGGCTCGGAAACACCCGAGTGCTGCCTGTCTGGTGGCGCAGGGCCAGGCCGAACGTCTTCTCAGCTTTCAGCAGAAGCTGATTTGGGGAAACCCACCTTCCTCTGTAAGGCCAGAGGCATTTGCAGGAAACCTAAAAAGTGCCGCTCCCTTCGTAGATTTGCTGCATAGTATTTTTTTATTAGAGTAACACATAATGGGATTTGTTGTTTTTGAGTGATACTCTGTTTTTTAAATGGCACTGGATGTAACCTTGTACTGCAAAGTGAAGTTACCGGAGACTGGAGAGGTTACACACGCCTGTAATCCCAACACTCTGGGAGGCAGTGGCGAGGTGATGGCCAGGTTGAGCCAGGTCTGAGCAGTATAGCAGGACTCTGCCTCCAACTTTTTACAGGCTGGATATCTATATCCAGTGGTACCAAAAAAATTATTGGAAATTTTTAAAAGCTCTTGGGGAGTCTCTTGGTTTTTTAATATCTGGAGTTCCCAAGCCCAAAATTTTGGCTGTCGTTGGTCAGGGTTACTGTCAAACCTGTTATTGTCCCTGACTGAAATGAGCCGCTAAGAAAGTGCAGGAGTGCATCCTCTAACTGGGAAGAGCACTACAGGAGTGACTAACACCTGTTGTGCACCTGCAGATGGCCGGTACCTCCCTTGTTAACCTTCACTGCCACCACAGTTGACAATAAGGAGAGCCAAGTACTGGTAGCACTGATCTGCTCTGTACTCGTGCCCATCTTCTGATGAGTCAAGTATTCTTAATGTCAGGTGATACTGTGTTTCTGTTGTCTTGATTCTACATGATTTTTAGAATTCCATCCCTTGCCTTGACTCACCCACCCCTCAAGACTTTGTTTGCAACCCTCAGAGCATCACAACCAATTTTTTGAAAGGCACATGGTGAGGGTGACACCCACATTTTTTTTTAAGTTTTTTTTTGGTGCCGAAGATGCCTGCATGCTGCCAAAGGACCACAGCTCACTGTTTATCTACTTCGTTCATGCAGAGGGGGTCAATTAGGCCTCAGTATTCATTATCTGGTCTCCTACAATTGATGAATTAATTTTACGAGTTTGATTAAGTAATGTCTATTTAGCAGAAAAATATTAAATATCAAAAAATACTGAATTTTTAATATGTAATGAGCGTTTAAATAACATTTTCAACATCAACTACTTTATTGCTTACAAAATCTAAAAAATAACAGGAGAAGTGAATTCTTAGGTGAACTACAATGAAAATACAAGCAAAACTATCAAGGGTTGATCAAGCTCACAACCTCCCAAATGAGTGGATGGTGAAGGCTTACATAAAAGGGGTATGATTTTAGGGCTCCTGAAGGATCACGAGCCCCTGGCATAATTCAGGATTCTCTGGGGGCTGAGACAAAGAACCCTGGGTGGCTGGTATGTACTTGGTTTTCAAACGAAGGAAGAGGTTAGAGTAGAAAACATGGGAAACTAAGCAGGACCTTGGGAGTGACCCAAGGACTTCTCTGAGTCACAAACTTTGTTAATTTAGAACTATCAACATTAATTAAGGAGAAGTATATTAGGAAAAAGTCTCCAGGTTAACTTTCACTACAGGAACAAATGCCTGCAGCTACAATATTTAGTCAATTAACTAAATTAGGGTGAGAGTCAAGCATTTTCGCTGTGACCTTATCCTGTTTTTGAGACCTCACAGGCCACTATAGACCTCAGCCAGGACTTCAACCAGTTTCACTTATGAGTTCACTCATTTATGAGTTCACTGCCCATCTTCAAACAAGGGGTCTAGGCCTTGGACGCACAAGTAAACACAGAAAGCCAACTGGTTCATTTTAAATCCTGTTTAGAGCCACTTCGTAGTGATCTCCATCACTATGGACCACTCTTAGCACACAAATAGTCTTTGCTTCAGGGATCACACCTAAGGCAATCTTCACACATGACAATAGCATGTTTCCTACACAAGTCTTGCTTATACTGACAGCACATGTGTTTTGCTTTCCTGTGTTTTTTGGTTTGATATACTTGACATCTTGCTGGATTTTCTGCTCTCTTTTGATGTTTCATTTGTCTGTTCACCAGTCTGCTCCAGAATTCTTTTGTGGAGTTGTTTGGACAGATACATAGATACTGTTTTTCCTCTGTAATAATTATTATTTATCAACTCCAGTCCCAATCTTCTAAAAAAATTTCTTCATGATTTTTGTTTTGTTTTGTTTGAAACAGAGACTTGATACACAGTTCAGGCTGGCCTTGAACTTACTACATAACCCAGGCTAGCCTTGAACTTATGGAAATCCTCCTATCTCAGCCTCCAGAGTGCTGGGATTATAGCATGCACCACACACCTGGCTCCCATATTTTGTGCTTGTTATTTTCTTGATAAACTATTGTCTTGGTTACTTTTCTGTAGTTGCTGGGACAAAATACCGAAAAACCAAAAATCAAAGAAGGAAAGGTTAGTTTATTTAGCTCACAGTTTGTGAAGGTATTAGGGCACAATCAGCTGACTCCAAAGCAGGGTGATGTGGCATAGGGGCAACACTTCAAGATGGCAGAAGACAGCAAAAAAGCAATGAGCAAAAGGGCAAGGGTAAGCCTCTTTTCCTTACATTGTAAGCTGGCTACATCCCTCAAGTGGATGCAGCACTCATAAATCTCCATGCCCTCCTCTTGCACAGGCTCAGAATGTTTAAAAAGTGAGGATCTAGTCCAGGAGAACATGGCAGACAGATAGCAGCAGCTACGGAGGCTCGCTGAAACACCCAGCTTAGAAGTCAGGAATGGTGCTGAGTAAGGAATCATAAGTAAGAGGAGATATACCCCCGTGACCCAAGAACAAACTGGGCTGAGAGAAACCAACTAGGAATGCAATCCTGGTGCTATAACAGGAACAGATAAAGCCTCAGTGTGGAAGCTGGAGCCCGCGCCATTGGAAGCCGCGATTTGGGTTTCCTGCCATGGCCTGCGCTGCGTATGCATCGGCTCGGCAGGGAGAGAGACGCGCGGAAGCTCTGAGAATGGGAATCGTGAACGGAGTTGAGAGCGGGACAGGCGGGGAGCTGTGCATCCACCTCCAGTGAGTGAGGGAAAACTGGGACTCTTCCACCGTCTAGGAGACTCCAACAGAGGACATTCTGGGACTGGGCAGACTTGCGGGAACAGGGTGCTGCAGTGACTTCAGTCAAGTATCCCCCTCTCAAGTGGGATTGGTGAGCAGTGCCTAGCCCATGTGATGCTGCTGGCTGAGACCCAGTAGGCTAGCACAGCCCAGGTCCCAGCTCCTGAAGGTAGATTGACCTGGAGGGGCAGGCCCCGCATAGGCCCTGGTCTGCAACTTCCTGGTGCACTTTGGTGGGTGGGAACACGTAGCTGGCGCAATTCAATCAGACTGTGGCCAATAGGGAAGGAAGCTTGCATATATATGCTTGCATATATAAGGAACAAAGAATATGGGAAGAGGCAGCAACAAGAAAGAGTCCTCGGCCCCCAATCCTGAGAAAGAGGCAATAGCAGACACAGCACCAATAGATATAAAGTGCTATCTCCAGAGCCTCACAGACAAGTTCAGGAATGAAGTTATTAATGACCTGAAGCTAAATATAAGCAGAATAGTTAGAGAAATGCTAAGCACCACCCAAGAAAAAACAGATAGTGGAATGGAAGAACAGAAAAAGAGGGGAGAATTGTTTGATGGAGAAAATAGAGAAAGCATAGAATATGTGAAGCAGGTTCAAAGAGATTACCAGGAAACTAAAAACTCTATCGAAAACTGGCATAACAGCTTGAAAGAAACTAAGGACAGACTATCTGAACTGGAGGGCAGATTTGTACTATGGGAGCATGAAATGAAAAACTTCTTAAAAATAACAAAGAAACAAACAGCAATAATACAAAGACTAGAAGATGATAAGAGGATCTATAACTTAAGAATTAAGAACATAAAAGAAGAAGTAGGGACACAAACAAGTGAACTACAAAAGCTACTCACAGAAATAATCCAGGAGAATTTTTCTAATTTAGCAAAAGGTAAAGATACTCAGTTGTATGAAGCATACAGGACCCCAGCCACCTACAACCCAAACAGAGCAACACCCAGGCATATAATAATTAAAATTCCAGAAATCCAATACAAGAACAGAATATTAAAAGCCGTCAGAGACAAGAAACAGACCACTTACAAGGGAACACCCATCAGAATTACAGCAGACTTCTCGGCACAAACCATCAAGTCATGAAGAGCATGGGGGGAAATAATTCAAGCTTTGAAAGATAATAACCTCCAGCCAAGATTGATATATCCTGCACAACTATCCCTGGAAATTGATGGAAAAACAAGGTGCTTCCAGGATAAAGAGGAACTAGGGGAATATGCAACCACCAATTCAACTCTACAGAGAATACTGCAGGATATTCTACAAAAGAAAAATCCAAAAGTAGCGGCAGAGAGGCCACAATG